TGTTCTTGTCTTCTGGCAGCTCTGCGCATGCGCACACTGGGAACAGGCTCCAGCTGTTCTTCTGCCTCATTGCTGTCTAGCTCCCTCTCTGCCTCTGATGCAGATCCCTCAACTGAGCTTTCCCCGGACTCCAGGACTGGCCCATGTTCCTCCCCAACTCCTCACTCTCCGACTCTGCTGCCAGCTCCACTGGTCGACAGCAGACCACAACAACAATAGGTGGAAACTAATCAAGGAGAGAAGCAACCTAGAACTAAGGAGAAATTTCCTGACAGTGAGAACAATTAATCAATGGAACAATTTGCCTCCAGAAGTTGTGAAGGCTCCAACTTTTAAAAACTTGTAAATCTCGTAAGTTTTAAAGAAGAGATTGGATATCCATTTGTCTGAAGTGGTGTAGGGTTTCCTGCCTATGCAGGGGGCTGGACTAGGAGACCTCCAAGGTCCCTTCCAACTCTGTTATTCTGTTCTGATGGCAACTCAATTTGGGGAACACAGCTGCATGCAGAGAGTCCCACTTGGAAAACAATCCCTTTGGCAGATGCTGTTTGCCAGAGGTGGAGAACGATGGCCCTTTTATGACTTGTGGACTTCAACTCCCAGAATTCCCCAAGCCAGACAGGATCAGAAATTCAGGAACACTTGACAAATGGCATTTATTGATGAATACATGGCATTTTTTTTCCTGGGAAGGGTGCAGAGAAGAGCCACAAAGACAATTAGGGGGCTGGAGACTAAAACATACGAAGAACCGTTGCAGGAATTGGGTATGTCTAGTCTAAAGAGAAGGAGGAGTCGGGGTGACAGGATAGCAGTCTTCCAATATTTGGGGGGCTGCCAAAAAAAGGGGGTCAAATTATTCTCCAAAGCAGCAGAAGGCAAGACAAGGAGCAAAGGATGGAAACTCATCAAGGAGAGAAGCAACTCCAGAACTAAGGAGAAATTTCCTGACAACTGCAGTGGTTCCCTTAAAAAACTGTGGCGTAAAATGGGGTAAAACTCCCTCAACTGCCTTGCTTAGCAGTGAAAATTTTGGACCCTTCTGTGGTCGTATATCAAGGACTAGCAGTGATGTAATTTGGCCCAAACTTGCCTTCCAACCTGGAACCATATTTGTCAACCCTCCCGGAGAGCTCCTGAGATTTACGATTGGGTGACCACCGTTGCACCAGCATAAAGGAGGTCGGCAGTGAGTTTCCAGCTTGGCATTGTTTGGATTGCATTTTATTTAGGTTTCTTAAGGCCGTCCAACTCCCCAGAGACCGATATATTTCCTGTCCCACGGGTGTTCTGACCTAGGCTTCCCCAGCAGCCCGAAGCCGAGTCCTCGTCCCGATATTTTATTTTTCCCTTTTATTTAATTGACGGTGAATTCCTCTCCAGCAAAGTCTTTCCTCTCCCACAGTCTTTCANGATTTTGCAGTATCCTTCCCGGCCATGCCCACCAAGCCACTCCCACAGAACTGGTAGTAAAAAAATTTGAATTTCACCACTGCTGCAACCGTCATAAATATGAACCAGTTGCCAAGCATTTGAATTTTGATCACATGATCACAAGGTCCCTGCATCCATCGTAAGTGTGAACCACACAGTAAACCATCGGTTTAACTGATCCCGATTTCACAATTTTCAGATTTAATAAGGAGGATGGCTCCTTGATATATCCCTTAATAATGTACAAAGCTAGTTTTTACGTATAATTATGCTTTGTGCTACATGCACAAATATTTAACGCAAATTAATGCCTTCGTTCTAAATTGTACTAAACATCTGCAAGTATCCTGTATTTCCCCCCCTCTAATCTACTACGGACAGAGGGAGATATAAATATATGCAAATCCTGAAAATTGATGTCTTTGGCGACATTCCGTAACGACGCTAATGACACAGTTTTGTTGTAAGAATCAAAAATGTGCAGCGTTTGCCTGCTTATGTCAGGAGGCGAATGCCTTAAACCCTTTGACTTAACAGACAATGGGTTTTACATGTCCATAAAGTTGAGTTTAGCATAATCCAGATTAAGAAGAGTGTGTGAATGCAGATGTGGGGAGGGTTGGAGGGTGGGGGTAAGTGTGACAGGAACAGATCCAACTTTCATCCATAGGACAAATTCCAAGCCCCCCAAAAGGAAAGAATCCCAACCTTCTTTTAAGAGTTTTCATTCTCAGCGTCGGGAATAAAGTGAATTTTCTTGGATGGAAGCTGGGGAGCAGCCCACCACCCTGCTCATCCAAGGGAGTTTAACTCCCTTAAAGATGCCCAGCCGTAGCCGGGAACCATGGGTATTGTGTTGTAGGAACTGGGTATGTCTAGTTTGATGAAAAGAAGGACTATGGGTGACATGACAGCAGTCTTCCAATATCTCAGCGGTTGCCACAAAGAAGATTTGGGAGTCAAGCTATTCTCCAAAGCACTTGAGGGTAGAACAAGAAGAAACTGTTCTGATCCAGGCTTCCTTAACAAGCAAGAAGCAGAGTCTTGGTCCTTGCAAAACCCCTTTTATTTACACGACTGTGAATTCCTTTCATTCCCAGCCAGCAAGGCTTGGCAAACAGTCTTTCAAAGGAATGTTTATCCACACGAACCTTATCTCGCTCGGAGAGCTGCCAGATAACTAGTTTCCAAACGCAGGGCAAGGCAAAAACTTGGCACAGAGTCTCTTATAGTCACAAACAGAACTTTCTGCTCTTGAAACGACCGAAGGGGCGGATTGTTTCCTGCAAAAGCCCCCTCCCCATTCGCTTCTCTTTTATTCCCTCTGGGAGGGGCCATTCTCCGTCCACCTGTGGCCTTACTCCCA